AGATGTTTCACTTTGCAACAAAAATGTTGGGCTTAATTATGTTTGTAAGTCAAGGAATACCTGTATTAATTAAAAAGTACTTAATAGAGAAAACCTCACAAAAGGACAAGATTCAAATTTCAAAAAACCGTGTTAACAATCTAGAATTGTGTTCAACTCGTGGAAAGTTTAGCGCAGCTTCTTAACTGTCCCAAATCATCCCAACAGTTAACTCTGATTTGCCCTGGAGCAAGTATCCTCATTTGCTTCTTAATAACATCTCTTATCAATTGTTGTCTGGTTTAATATAACAAATCCCTTCTCCAGAATCGATGTATCTTCCCAAAAAGAATCCAGATGAAATCCAGTTGAGTACAATAATCCAAATTTGGATCACATGACTGTGGGGATGATGTGAGGGTCATAACTGCGAGGATCGATTGTATGCAACTTCTTCCAGGGCTGCTGTCCCTTTGAACGGACGCTAAACAAACGGTTGTAAGTCCAGGACTACCCCTATCTCTTGATTCAATGACAAGAGAGAGGAATAGAGAAGGTGACACCTCCCTCATCTATTGTTCCTTATTTCTTTTCCAAATTTGCATCTCCAACAAGCTCAAAATGCAGAATAACAGAGTTGGAGGGGACCTTGGAGGTCTTCTAGTCCATCCCCTGTCCTAGCAGGAGACTCTATACCACTCTGGACAAATGGTTGTCTAATCTTTTTTTTTTTTTTTAAAGCTCCAGTGATGCAGCACCACAACTTCTGGAGGCAGGCTGTTCCACTGATTAATTGTGCTAAAAAGAGGTTCCAAAACAGAGGACAAGTGAACAGGGACCTAATCCCTTTAAAAAATTTTTTAAAGGAAAACAAAGGCACCACGGGCGCAGAAATTATAACCGTTGGCTCCTCGATTGAGATGAGGAACAAAACCCTAATCAACCAGTCTTTCATCCCGAAAATAATGCCGTCTGTTGCTATTGTTCCAAAAGCAGGTGGTACCTATTACTTTACTCCAAACCTTCTAATCAAATTCATTTTAGGAACAGCTCCAGATTTTCGAAGTTGCAGAGAATTGAGGAAATAGCATTTCCTAGGTAGAGATAGTCTGAGTGCTTCAGAGGAATTCCACCCACACCTTGAACTTGAGAGTCATCCACTACAAGAGTCACCTTGCAGAGGAAATGGATGGCACATGTATTTAATAAAATAAATTAATAGAGAGATAAATGATAGAAGAGAGAGAGCGAGAGAGAGGCAGAGAGAGAGAGAGAGGCAGAGAGAGAGAGAGAGAGAGAGAACATATAGAAAGAGAGAGGGAAAAAGAAGATACAGATAGCTAGCTAGCTAGATACATAGAGAGAGATAGACAGACAGACAGACAGACAGACAGACAAGACAAACCTACAGACAGACAAAGGTAGGTAGATAGGTATAGATAGATACACAGATAGACAGACAGACAGGAGAGAGATGAGAGAGAGATTAGAGAGATGAGATGGACGGACGGATGGACGGACGGACGGACAGAGACAGACAGACAGACAGACAGACAGACAGACAGACAGACAGACAGACAGACAGATAGATAGATAGATAGATAGATAGATAGATAGATAGATAGATAGATAGATAGAGATAGAAGTCAGATAGATCGATAGACAGACAGACAGGATAGATAGATAGATAGATAGATAGATAGATAGATAGATAGATAGATAGATAGATAGATAGATAGATAGATAGATAGATAGATAGATAGAAGACAGTGATAGACAGACAGACAGACAGACAGACAGACATAGATAGATAGATAGATAGATAGATTTAAGTAGATAAAAGATAGATAGATAGATAGATAGATAGATAGATAGATAGAGAGATAGAGAGATAGATAGAGAGATAGAGAGAAACAGATAGAAAAAATAGCTTGAGAGAGTGAAAGAGAGATAGCAGAGAAAGAGATAAAAATGGATGGATAGATGAGAGAAAAAGAGAGAAAGAGAAATAGACAGAGGGATGGGTCGATAATAAATAAGAGAGAGATGATAAAGAGATAGATAAATAGATAGATCGATAGACAGACAGAGAAAGAGAGAGAGAAAGAGAGGTATTTTGCTGTCATTGTGTAGGTGTGCCCTTGTATAGACAGAAAAATGACAATAAAAGGTATCTTAACCTTAATCTTTTAGCAATTTGCTCCCTTTTATTTTCTCTCAAGAGGTTAAAGGTGAGATTCTGTTTGAATTTTTTTTTAAAAAAAAAAACGGTGTTCTGTATTTTAACTTTTTTTGAATAAAATAAAAATAGATTTTTTTTAAAAAAGGAAATCACAATTCTTTGCATTGCACTGATGAAATTCTTCCA